ACCCCGTTAATTAAAGCTAAGACGTCTTTAAAAAGTTAATATTCTTTTCACATAAACATATACACGTTTAATCAAGGGTTTCAAATGTTTTTGTGACAAGTATCGCGAACAGATGCTCGTACACAGGAGTAGCGTTCGCCTGAGGAAGTAACCATAGCAACAGTAGGCTGCTGGAACACTTGACACCAGCATCACTGACAAAAATATAAATATGCATACTGTCATTATTTATTATCAGTAATGTTTGTGATAGTAATTTTTATGTTCTTTAATTATATATTAAACTTTGCACAAGATGAACCTCACCACTCACTTTAAACTTTCGACCTTACCAACAAGGTACACAAATAAGACAAATTGCTGTGAATATATGTACAAATGTACTTACATTTTGTTTATATTGTTGCAAAATGTAAACTATATTATCACACAACTAGCTAAGTATATCCAATTTCATCCGCATACGTACAGTACACTCACAAGAGATAAATACTATATAGCAAACTCAACTGCATGATTGTTTTTATCATTGCAAAAATGTAAACTACATTATCACCTAGCTCTAATCTGCTAAATGTGACTATAAATTATGAAGATATTAAGATATTATAAAGATGAACATTATAATTTTATAATGTGTATTGTAAAAAGTGCTATACAAATACATTTGACTCAACTTACAGCTACAGTTCTTTGAGAGGAAAAAAGCTTATAATCAGATTGAAAATAGAACAACTGTCAACAATGGTAAAAGCAACAAAAAGTGGGACAATATGTCTAGTTTATTGGACTGAGCTCCATGTTCAACTCAGCTCAGCTGTCGCCCTCACTACAGTATTAGAGAGAAGCATTAAACGTTGCCTGTAAAAGGGGCAGAGAAATTAAAACAGGGTATGAAACACACTAAACCCCAAAGGAGAACACCAGACTAAGGCCGTTATGCTCTTATGAGATGGTGGGTCAAATGTCATCAGCTGCAACCCAGTTCTGGATATACTGGAAACACGTAATGTAGCATTAAAGTTACCTAAATGAGAACAAAGTCACTTTTGAAGGCCACACTCTACATGCATCCCACAGTCCTATATACTTTAGTCAAGACAGACACGACACTGCATTTTACGCAGATGAAAACGATGTTGAGAAGGATAGACTACAATGAATACAGTAAATCTATTTTCATGACACAGAAAAGTTTTCCTTATGCTCTGATAATAAAAGAGCATGTGACGAGTGAGTGAAATTTAACACTGCAAATCTCAGTTGCCAACATCCACACATAAATTTAAACACAGGAAAACACCAGAGGGACACTTTGTACTCAGAACAAGAATTTAGTCTTCACTGGGTTTCTTCTTTAAGGACCTCATGTGAAGAGAATAAGAAGTCCTGAGCCTTCAGCGGTCTCTGAGATACACTGCCAATAACCAAGTGCCAAAAAGGGCCCAAAATAGGAGGCGGATGTTTCCAGTAGGTTTGAGCCTCATCAAAACAGACGTGAAACATTTTCAAAAGTTTTTAAAAAAGAGGGTATTTATATTTAGGTTAATGTTGTGGAACAGCCAACATACTAACAGATATGTTACATAAAAAATCTTGGCGCAATGAGTAGTAGAAGTAGTAGAAAACGTGACAGGAATTGTTTACTCCTGGGCTACGGAAGTGCAAAGTCTCTCTGTTTGAGACAGACTGACATCATTAATAAAACTCCTGAATAGAAAGAGTTAGACTGTGGCAGGGAAACCGTGTTAATGCTGGCCCAGCCATGCATGCAAAGCCTCTCAGTAACACTAACCTACCATCGGATGGGAAACAAACCACAATACTTTAAATGGCAGTCGGAGATGGGGCCAACTGTATACCTACTGCAGCCTGTGCTTTTCCTCACACTGATAAAACTGATTTGGTCAGCAAAAATACTTTAGATAAACCAGAATAAGGACAGAAATATTAGGGCAGAAATATACACTATACAAGTACGCAGACACTGCAAGTGCGCAATAATGTGCGTTCTTGCATTACTGTGGTGGTAACAAACGTCAGTACTCATGGGGCTGATAGAGTTACCTTTAAATGAACCTGTGCAACTGCACTGGATCTGTTATGGATGTGTTAGCTATTCAGATAGCTAGAAACAGGCTAAAAGTTTAACGGTAACCAGTTAGTAGTTTAGGGTTGTGCAATATTCAGAACTTAATTGAGAATGCATGTTTATTTTTAATACTCAAATTCAATTCCTCAATTAGAATTTAATTTTTGTCGAGTTCCAAGAGATTCATATAACCCCGGTGTAATAAAAAAATAAAAACTTGGAATGTTTTCTGAACAGCCTTTTTTTTTTGAGAGTTAAAAAAAACTCAAAAAGTATTTATTTTGAAGGTTTTATTGACCTTACAGACAGGGAGAACTCTTCATTTCTTGGAAATTAATTTTTTTGAATTGCAATTGAGTAAACTCCACTTCCTGTCATTCTCATTAATTGACTAATAAATTGAAAAAGAGCCAACTGTTAAATTCAAGATATGAAAACTGATAATAGAAAAACAGAGTTTGCACTAATGTTCACTATAGCACCCCTTGTGGCAACACTGTGAATGCACTGCTTGAATGCACTGCTTTCCTATATTCCAGGGGTGGTGAACATCGGTCCTGGAGAGCTTCAACCCTAATCAAACACACCTGAACAAGCTAATCAAGGTCTGAACGGTTACTAGGAAGCTACAGGCAGGTGAGTTTTAATTAGGGTTAGAGCTGAACTCTGCAGGGCTGCTGCTCTCCAGGACCGGAGTTCGCCACCCCTGCTATATTCTATAATTCACAACAGTAAAAAAATCTGAATACTCTGCTCCATTACAACAGTAATAAAACTCCAGTCTGGCAATCTTGAACCCTTTAGAGTAGCGCAGAAAGAATTATAGTGCATTTCTAATTCTTGCAATTGTCCACAGTAGCCTGGTTTAGCACAGCATAAATGGCCTGGGTATCTGGAGCATTAGTGTAATAATTAAATTGAGTTGACAAAAGCACTCAGACTTACACTTGTTGAGCTGATTAGTTTCTGAAATTCTCAGGTGTAAACTAATGTAGTCTAGACTAATCATTTTAAAGTCAGACAGACCTTACTGCTCAGCGCTGCTCTTTTAGCCTGGGCTCCCTTGTTGAGAATAGCTTAATTAATGACATAAACAGCGATTAATTTAAAAGAATAGCCACAGACTGTATTCCATAGAGGGTTTTTTTTCTGCCTAAAACATATTATTCTGCTGTTTTAATTAGTGATCGACCGATATTGATATTTTATAACCGATACGATACCAATTATTTGCATGTTTATGTGCCCGATATGCAGAACCGATATTTATTTACTGTTATAAAGTAAATAAATGACTGAGTGAAGTAAGTCCATACTTCACTTTAGTTTTTCCTCCTTTCAGTCATCTTAAAAAAAGTGTTGAAAATTAGCAGTCTTTCATGTTAAATTTAATCTTCATATTACAACAATAAAAAAATTTATTTAAAGCATCAGCAGCAACACTAATATTAACAATAAGCAAAATAAATGTAGAAGGTCTAATGTTTTCAAATGGAGAAAATAAATAAAGGACAGGAGTCATCTTCATTTTAAACTACCGTGTTAAGTAGGTTTATAAGCTGCTTAATAGGCTTGAGTTCATCTCTATTTCTTCGAGCCAAGCTGCATAAACTGCATATCAGGCATTTATTTAATACATCTAATTTGTGCATTGATGGCTGTTATGTTAAATAAAGTTTACTAACTACAGTAAATCAAGTACCTGTGCACGCCGTTGTTGTTGTCTTGTTTCCTCTCAGACGCACTGCAATGGTGATCCTGCGCGCAATTCTCAAAACATCCACAAGATGGCGGCGTTTATCGGTGAATTCGATATTACAAAACCGATATCCGTTTATTGTAAAATGCTTAAATATCGGGAAATATATCGGTAAATCGATATATCGGTCGATCTCTGGTTTTAATACTTTAATACTAAATTTGAGTACAAATGTCATAAATCAAAGAGATGTTAAAAGTTACAGCTGATATTTTTTCAGTTCATTTGTCACACTGGAAATGAAAGGTCAAGTAGAACACACTGCATTATGGGCTGCACAATTTGGGGGGGGAAAACCTAATTAAGATAAAAAATTGTGACTGCGATAAAAAAGCTCCAGGTTTGCTGTGCTTGTTTGTGGGGCTGCAAAATTTTGCAAAAATCAGTTACTGATAATTACTGATAACGAGTGACACATCTTGGGTATTCTATAGTCTTTGTTATAGTTTAGAAAATGGTAATAAATATGACAAGATAATAAAATATGACAAGAACTATTTAAAAAAAAAAAAGAGTTATACTATTTAAGAAGAGTTAAACTGTGTCAGAATAAATTCATCTTGATAATGTCAGATAACACTTAAGCAAAACATGGTAAGGTCAAAGTGTCTGAATAATTTTTGGTCCCAAATGTTTATCAATTTTACTGGTAGTCCACTGTATGAAGAATTTTTGGGGATAATATGTCACAGTTTACTTAATTTTGCTATCACTCACTTACATAAATGAACTATAGTGTCCTGCACCCACTAGAAAAAAAATATTAAAAATTATATCTGGTGTCCGAATAATTTTTGGTTTGACTGTATATTGCAGTTACTGATAATTACACAAAGCCATATGTCCCTATCTAGTAGTAGGGTTTTTATGTTAGTATGCTATTCTAAATATATGTGACCAAATCAATAATTTTATCTGCAACTGCCTAAGATGAGTTCACTTATAATCATAAGAGACACTTGAAACAGCTGAATGTTACACATTCCTTACACCTCTCAGCACAAACTCTCTGAGCCGAAGGGCTCTTGTGTAACACTTGAGAAAGGAGAGCGATGCAAATATGAGGATTGGTGAAAAACATAAACTTAGCGGAAGTGTGTTATGGAAATAGATGTCTACTGTCCAACAAGAAAACATGAATGCTCTTACCAAAGACTCTCTGACTGGTGAGGTGGAGCGACAGCTGGAGGAGAATCGGCTGCTGCTGCTCTTCAGGCCGCTGCTGCCAAGACTGTCCTGTGTGGAGCTCCGTGAGAGGCCGTAGCTGGAGCGTAGCTGGCCATAGGTGTCAGATACATCAGTGCCTCGGCTCTGGTAGGACTGCTTCAGGCCACTGCCACTGGATGTCTCGCTCAGGCCCAGAGCTGATAAATCGTGCGTCAAATCGCTCTGACTCACCGACTTCCTGCGACTGAGAGAAATGCTGGAGGAAACGGGTGAGGTGGAGAGGTAGCTGGTAGGGGCCGGAGAGTAGCTGTAGCTGCTGTATGCCGAGCCTCCATTGAGGCCCGAGCCATAGCCCTTTGCCGGTGTGCGGCTCAGGCTCTCGCTGCGCCGGCCACCCAGCAAATCAGTGCGAGGGATAGGCCGACCCCGGTCCGGCTCGAACGAAGAGCTGTAGTTGCGGGAGCGGCTGGCGCTTGAGCTCAGGTAGCTTGAGGAGGAGTAGCCTGAGGAGGAGCTCTTATAGGGCAGCTTTTCCCGATCATAGGAGCCCAGCGATGGAGTCAGGGAGGAGCCATATGAGCTGTAGTTACTGGTATAAGAAGAGCCTGTATAGCGCTTCGCTGTAGAGGAGACACGAGACATGCCGGCAGCTCAGCTGGATGTAAGGCAATTTCAGGCTGCATGGAATCTGAACGAAAGGAGAAAAAGTGTGGCATTCAGTGATATTAAAATTCTGGCCATTACAGATAAACCAGTAATTTATTTTCAGTTTAAAGTCAGCATGGAATGAAAATCTGTTTAATGGATGTTGTTGATCTTATTGTGAACAATTCATCCATGCATGCTTCATTTTTTTCTTTTGTTTTTTTTTTTACCTTGTAGTTTTCAATCAAAATGTCATAACTGGATCTTCCAGTGAAATGACAGACTTCACTGGTGACGTTTGCTGGACTTCTCCAATCATTTCATCCACTTAAACCCCACCCTTTTTTTTTTTTTTACACAAATGACTGCAACATCCAATCAACAACCAGTTGATTGAACCAAGTTTTTGACATTTTACTCGGATAGATGTCACAATACAGAAGAAAAGATCTGTCACTACTTCCATTACATTGTGAGTTTAATAACTGTTAAATATCAGATATTAAAATTCTACACTGTTGTGTCTAGATTAATAAAAAGGAAACACTAAACTAAAATAAATTGTTTTGAATAATATAAGTGAATTTAGGCATCACAACATTATAATGTACAGTATGAAAAATAGATATTCATTTTGAGACTCGCTAAAGATTACATTTAACAGTGTTATTAAATTATTAGGGTTTTTAAAGATTAACCTTAACCCTGTAAAGCCTGACATATCTTGATCTAAAAAAAAGTCTGCATATGTGAGTACCCCAATTTTATTCAGAGGCCCAAACTGAGCAAAAAATATGCAATTTGGTGCAGTTGCTGATATTTACACTATATGGCCAAAACGTAATATGCTATTTTGATAGCACTTAGTAGATTGTGAGCAACAGGTTTTTCAGCAAAGTTTCCATCATGTGATAATTTAGAGGCCTTAGAAATTTGCATATCAAATATGATACAGTAGGCTTTCGGTTAAGTGAGCGTTTACTTCTAAATTAAGATGTATAAAACAATTAATAAACAATTAAATATCCAATAACAGCTAATACAGATTAAAAAAAAAAACTTTAATATCAGCTGATAACCAAAACGGTACACAATGGATATTGTGCATCCATAGCTGCTATGTATAAATATAAAATATTGTTATGTGCATTCTATGTGAAAGTGAGAAAAACACTTTGTATGTGAAAGTGAAAAAAAAAAAACACTTTTGTCAAAGTGGCCCCAACTGACGTGACATCTACACTGACTGATAAAATGAGATTAATAAGATTAATCATTTTAGCTTATATCTACCAACAAACTCCAAAATGCCTCAAAATCCCACACACTCAGGTCGGCGGTTTCATTACGTGTGTATTTCAGCCTTAGGGAAAGAAATTCTCTCTTCAGTTGGGCAATTCCAGTAAAAAATTGTAGGGTATAAACACTACCGGTTATGAATTTTGAATGACGCTGTGTCATGCCCTGAGGTCTCTTGTGTTTTGTGCGCTTGATCCTGAAAACATATTCGATGAGTAGCAGCATGTGACTCTTGTCCAAACACAGCATACACACTGCGAGGGGTGCATATTACGCAACCTACGGGGGCTTCGCTGCAAGCACGGGACCCTGAATGAAGAACATGCTGAACAAAATGAGTGCCATTGTTTTCAGAGAGGCCTGGATTGGTGGTACAGCCCGAGCACAGCACTGAAGACCCCGCTGTTTGAATGAAACAAGAGAGCCCCCAGAGCCGGGCCATGTGTTTACGCGGTACAGTTTGTTCTTGTGGAGAGACGGGCTCTTGTTCACAAGGCAGTGCAGCATCTGAATAAATAAAAGTATCTGGTGTTGTTGATCCGTGCTGGGTTCAGTGTGATGGCTCTTATTTCTTTAATCTGTCTCGCTGCAAACTCTCTCTCTCTCTCCCTCTCTTAGTGCAGCATTCACAGATGCATCAATATTTCAACACGTAGATCTAGGGTAAGCAGCACACTGGAGGCAGTCCAAAGCACATGGCAAACCGACACTAACATGCTTTCATCAGACGAGAACTCTTAAGACAGTTGTCCACTGCTTTCACATTGTGTTCCCTCTCTTTGCCCACAAGCCAAAAGAACCCTAGCATATGGTATTGAGAAAGATTCTTAATATTCAAACCCCTGTAATACCACACAAAAAAAAAAGTCTAAAAAAAGAGGTAGTAGAAGACATTTAGTTTATGTCAGTTTGACACTGTGGGGGTCAGTTTTAGTACCCTTTTAATATGCAATGGATTATCAAAATTAACACAACACAAAAAAAGCATAATATTTTCAGGAAATTATTATTATTAACAATTTAAGGAAAAAGAATAAAGTTACTGTTTAATGTCAAAAACCAACAAACAATAAATAAAATTAGCAGTACTATGCACTTTTTGCTTGTATAAACATTAAAATATTACTATTAAAAATGATGGCCGGATTTTAAACAATCAAAAAATCTTGGTTTGGTGACTTACAACATAACATGTTATATATAAATAAATATATAAAGAATTATGAAATGATAAACCTCACATTTCAGTCTTTAACTCATTTTAAGAGAAGGATCAAAATCATAAATTATATGCATTTTAGTGTTCAGATTTTTAGAATGCACATTAGTTTATATTCCATCTACAGGTTAAGATTTACAACAAAAAATCGATCCGATTTTCGCATTGGTCTGAACTAAAAGGCAGACAGACTGAATGAAAATGTAACTCCACTGTCTGACAGCAGGTGGCACTTCTGGAACAGCAGCAATAGATCGGTTTCACCGGTAAACGCTGTAAACAAAGCAGCGCTGCGCTTTTAAACACTGCTTTATTAGGCTTTACACGGAGGGAAGATGAAAAGCAAATATCATAGAAACTTTTCTGAAGACAGTCAGTTCTCCCTTATGCATTCATAGATTTAAATCATTCATACATTCTTTCATTTCATTTGTTTCAGCACTCTGCCTTCATTCATGTTTTCACACAAAACGAAACCTACGCTGCATGTTGCACCTGCGTGAGACTGTTAATTTTGCTTAATGCTGAGCAGTATTTATCTCAAGTTTTACGACATATTTATAGATGAATCCTTGTTAAAGATTAAGTTATTCAGTCAAGAGCAAATCTGAGCAGAGTGATTTTTCTTTTGTTCTTCAATAACACAGACAGCCAGCTGCTCTCACTTTCAGACCAAATGCACGGTTCTGACACACACATCAGATTTCCTCGGTTTACGTTCATTTAAAGGGGTCATATAATGTTGCTAAAAAGAACATTATTTGGTGTATTTGGTGTAATGAAACGTGTTTATGCGGTTTAAAGGAACACGCCACTATTTTTGAAAATAGGCTAATTTTTCAACTCCCCTAGCGTTAAACAGTTGAGTTTTACCGTTTTCGAATCCATTCAGCCGATCTCCGGGTCTGGCGGTAGCACTTTTAGCTGCAGCTTAGCATAGATCATTGAATCTGATTTGACCGTTAGCATCTCGCTCAAAAATGACCAAAGAGTTTCGATATTTTTCCTATTTAAAACTTGATTCTTCTGTAGTTACATCGTGTACTAAGACCAACGGAAAATGAAAAATTGCGATTTTCTAGGCCGATATGGAAATATATTAAATATATATATGCAACTACACAAACTTAGTGCCGGTCACGTTGGAAGTTACCTAGCTGGGGACTATTTTCAGGCGCTGCGTAATATCATTGCGCCTGCTGCACCCATGGTACGGCAGCAAAGTTCCTTGATTATTACGCCGGAATGAGAGTATAGTTCCTAGCCATATCGGCCTAGAAAATCGCAACTTTTCATTTTCCGTCGGTCTTAGTACACAATGTAACTACAGAAGAGTCAAGTTTTAAATAGGAAAGATATCTAAACTCTTTGGTCATTTTTGAGCGAGATGCTAACGGTCAAATCAGATTCAATTATCTATGCTAAGCTGCAGCTAAAAGTGCTACCGCCAGACCCGGAGATCGACTGAATGGATTCGAAAACGGTAAAACTCAACTGTTTAACTCTAGGAGAGTTGGAAAATTAGCCTATTTTCAAAAATAGTGGCGTGTTCCTTTAAGGTTAAAAAAACACATTATTTTACATATACTGTACATTATTGTTTCTCTTCTATGCCCCGCCTTTCTGAAACGTGTCGATTTTTACAAAGCTCATCGGTCTGAAAAGCGAGGTGTGCTCTGATTGGCCAGCTATCCAGTGCGTTGTGATTGGTCAAATACCTCAAGCGTGTGAAGGAAATGTTACGCCCCTTACCATATTGTGATGCCGCGTCCCGGAGCGGCGAGACAATATCATTAAAACCCATTATAAACGAGGCATTTGTTGCATCCAGTGGGGACAAAAGGCTTGCCATCTCTGCCTATTTCTTCTATTCACACCCACCGCCATTTATTTTTAAGAACTTTATCAATTAGTGCGTCTTCCCCAGGCTTCATAATCTTACTTTCCATCCTGCGGACTATGTTTGCTTGCTACTCTCCAACGTAACTTCTCCGCTCCGGCATCTATGCTTACGCCTGTTTCACACATACTCCGTCTGCAGTGCGTATACAGTCCATCTGCGTTATGTATGCGGTGCAGAAGCATTGTGCTTTCACACAGGACACGTTTGCAGTCCGCTACTGATACGCGGCTACTTACCACAAACACAACATTTATCCATTACTTTGATTTCAAATCCAAACGTTGTTACTGAAAAAGCTTTTTCAGCATTGTGATCCTCTTTTATCACAGGTCTTAAAGAACTTTGTTTTTCTATTATGTTGCCTTGTTTATCTAAAAGTTTTAAACCTTGTTTTAAACCTAGCCAAAAAGCCACGTGTTGACTGTGAAACAGTAGACTTTAATTATATCAATTTATTGTGAAATTACTACATTTCCGTGTCAATCCATGTTCATTTTTACTGCGAACAATGCACTGTCACTTTAATTCAGCGCGTGCAGCACAGCAAAAATAGACTCAGTGCGTAAACGATCACTGCACTGCTGCAGACACGCTGCTCCTGGAACGCACTGCGTGCCCGTGGTCAGAATTGTGCCCAATTCTGACCCCAGCCAGATTATTACCCCCCTAGTATTGGTAGGTTTAAGGTTAGGTGTGGGGGAGGAGTTAGGATTAGGCAATCAGATAGCAATTTCAACGTGAGGGGTAATAATTTGGCAGGGGGTCGAAAATGGGCACAACACCGGACCGCAACCGCGTGCAGCGTGAACGCTCTAATCCGTTAACATGGGTGCGTATAAAAAACACAACGCACACGCACTGCAGACGGAGTATGTGTGAAACAGGTGTAGTAGGACTTGGTTGCAGCTGGATCTCAACCACACTTTTTCCAAGACCTGCCCCATTCTACTTCTGATTGACTAATGTTAGTTTGGTTGAGAGTGAAAGCTGTATTCCTCTCATACCATTGGTAGGCAAACTCATGACCTCAAATATGATATCAAGAAGTTTTTTAAAATGTAGGACTATCTTTTTATTTATTTTTTTCTGCAGCCAAACGACGCGAGAAACGAGAAACTGAGGACATGGGTATAATTAACTATTATCATTAACAGTTTAATATTATTAAACTATTATTGATAATAATGTATTATCTTTATTACTCTATATTTATAATACTCTAAAATAATATTAAATATATTTAAATTACATTTACAAGTAAGAACCTTGTGAATAAGCTATATTCTAGAAAAAAACTTTTGATATGAGGAGATCACTAGAAAGTTTCTTGTTACTACAGGATCATTACAAAACACAGACAAGAGATTTAACATACAATACCATTACAAAACTTGGGGTCAGTATTAAAATATTTTTAAATAAGTTTCTTATGCTCACCAAGGCTGTATTTATAAAAAATAAAATTAAAAACAGTAATATTTAAAAATATTACATTATTAAAATAATATTTTTAAAATATATATTTTTTAATGTAATGCAAATTAAAAATGTAATGTATTATCAATGCTAAAAACAGTTGTGCTGCTTAATACTTTTGTGAAAACATCCATGTTCATTTTTACTGCGAACAATGCACTGTCACTTTAATTCAGCGCGTGCAGCACAGCAAAAATAGACTCAGTGCGTAAACGATCACTGCACTGCTGCAGACACGCTGCTCCTGGAACGCACTGCGTGCCCGTGGTCAGAATTGTGCCCAATTCTGACCCCAGCCAGATTATTACCCCCCTAGTATTGGTAGGTTTAAGGTTAGGTGTGGGGGAGGAGTTAGGATTAGGCAATCAGATAGCAATTTCAACGTGAGGGGTAATAATTTGGCAGGGGGTCGAAAATGGGCACAACACCGGACCGCAACCGCGTGCAGCGTGAACGCTCTAATCCGTTAACATGGGTGCGTATAAAAAACACAACGCACACGCACTGCAGACGGAGTATGTGTGAAACAGGTGTAGTAGGACTTGGTTGCAGCTGGATCTCAACCACACTTTTTCCAAGACCTGCCCCATTCTACTTCTGATTGACTAATGTTAGTTTGGTTGAGAGTGAAAGCTGTATTCCTCTCATACCATTGGTAGGCAAACTCATGACCTCAAATATGATATCAAGAAGTTTTTTAAAATGTAGGACTATCTTTTTATTTATTTTTTTCTGCAGCCAAACGACGCGAGAAACGAGAAACTGAGGACATGGGTATAATTAACTATTATCATTAACAGTTTAATATTATTAAACTATTATTGATAATAATGTATTATCTTTATTACTCTATATTTATAATACTCTAAAATAATATTAAATATATTTAAATTACATTTACAAGTAAGAACCTTGTGAATAAGCTATATTCTAGAAAAAAACTTTTGATATGAGGAGATCACTAGAAAGTTTCTTGTTACTACAGGATCATTACAAAACACAGACAAGAGATTTAACATACAATACCATTACAAAACTTGGGGTCAGTATTAAAATATTTTTAAATAAGTTTCTTATGCTCACCAAGGCTGTATTTATAAAAAATAAAATTAAAAACAGTAATATTTAAAAATATTACATTATTAAAATAATATTTTTAAAATATATATTTTTTAATGTAATGCAAATTAAAAATGTAATGTATTATCAATGCTAAAAACAGTTGTGCTGCTTAATACTTTTGTGAAAACATTTTTGTACATATTTTAAGGATTTTTTTAATGAAAGATCAAAAGAACAGCATTTATTTGACTTTAATCCCACTTTCGATCAATTTCATGCACTCTTGCAGAATAAAAAGTATTAATATTTTAAAAAACTTTTGAACAAAACTGTACGTCACTCAATAAATATAAATACACTTAATCTATTTAGCCAAATCATAGAAGCAGGCTCTGTTGTCTGTAGTCATCTTCTGTGAGAAATATTAATTACTACTAATAAAGAAACTTCCATTTTTAACCAAACTAATCTTTTTAGTAGAATGAGACTGGAGTTTGGACTTAGTGTGTGTGTGTGTGTGTGTGTGTTTTTTCTTAAATGTTAGTATTACACCGTGTCTACACCGGACACGAGCGGCGCGACAAAATACTATACAACTCATTATAATCAGTGATGCTTTCTACACTGGAAAACTGCTGCTGCGTTCTATTTATTACGTACTGACACAAATTTCAAATGATTTTCAACGGTCGCTTTGTCGCGTCCAGTGTAGACACGGTGTTACAATACTCACATTTCTCACATACAGTTGGTTCAGCATGAAGGAAGTCAATGGGGGTTTAGTCAGTGGTCAGGGTCTAAGCTGTGGGAGTGTCTCTGACTGTGAGCATGTGACAGGTGGGGACTTATCAAAGCAGACGTGGTTCAGCCCCGTGATGCCTGACGGACATCCACACTTGCATTCATGCTGATAGACGTGCTGTCATTACGTGCACACCACCACATTCATGCTCCTTAACATTCACATTTAACACGTCAGTTCACCTACTTTTAGCTCTTCATCATTTGGAAAGCTATGAAAGCCAGTTTCCGCCTCAGAGTAAAAAAATAAAAAGATGATTGTGACTTTATTTCTAACAGTTGTGACTTAATATCTTACAATGTGACTTTAAATGTAAATGTTAGCCTCGCATTACATTTTGTCTTTTTCTCTGATGCAGAAATATGCCTCCATAGAAAGCAAACTGCACTAAGAATTGCAAAGAAGCATAAAAAGTAGGGCTGGGTAAAAAATATTGATATCTCTATATTAATCGATTCTCATTTTTTCGGAACGATATCGATTCTTAAATCCCAAGAATCGATTATTCTAGCCTGTTTTCAGTTAATGGACGGAACACTAAATGCCGTTTTGGTGCCGTTTAATGTGGAGTGACAGATCGCTGTAGTGCCTCAGTTTAACAGACACGGCAGCGCGAGGCGCACTTGAACTGATAATCTCCTCCACATTAATACCAGTTTCAGCACATAAACAATAAACATGACTAAACATCCAAAGTTAAAAGAAAGAGTACAACTTTACAGTCCGTATTCTGTCTCATGTAATCGCTCAATCAGTGTTTCAGCTGCGCAAAGACGTTAATATAACGGCTTGTAAACAATGTCACGTAACGTCACATTTACCTCAGAAAAACATATTTGTGACCATAAACTCATTAGTCAGATAGAAAAATAAACTGTTTGATACCGGCATATCCCTAGTCAAAACCCAGCCCTAATCAAAAGGTCAATAAAAAATCCTGAAAACAGTTTTGGTGTGATATGTGCTGTATAACTTCAAATATCAGAGCTGGTCTCCAGGAAGCCACCATGATATTGCACCAAAACACCGTACCGTCCTAAAAAATCTCAAACTTGTGCAGGTGTTTGAGTTAGCAACACAAACAATACGCTGAAGACTTGAGGCAAAGTCTTGGGTACAGCTATATTTACCCTGAAATGTGGGCAGATAATAGCTCAGTGACCAAACTGACACCTCAGCCCCCCCTCCTGTGACCAAAAGCAATCTGGCAAGACTCGCCTCTCAACAATACTCAGGCCTGCCAAACCAAACTCAAAATCTACCTTTTATATCCGCAGCTATGTTATGCGAATCACACTTGCACTGGTCTGGCATGAATTTTCAAAGCTTATTTATTCTGGAAAAACAACATCAGACCAAATTTTAAAGGTAGCAGGTCATTCCAGGTTTTTAAATCCTTTACAGTGAGCGTAGACAACCTTAATAAGGAATGTGGAACACAGATTTTGTAACAGACTGGCATTAGGGCCACTGTCTATGAAGAGACAATGAAATTGAAAACATGGGGATTAACGTGCAGTGGCGGCTCGTCCGGGAGGCAGGGGAGGCACAGCTTCCCCATAATTTTGAGGTGAAAA